TGAAACAAGCTGTTTGTATTTATATGTATCCTTTAGATTTATCATGAAGGAGGTTGGAGTTAATTTTCAGTTCATTGTGGGAAATAAAAACCAGCATCATTATCGGCACCGAAAGCATTTTAGTGGGTTTTCTTTATTTTTTGATGCTCAGTCAGTAATCTACCAGCCCTCTACCACCCCTCTCATCAGAGCAGGTTACCACTCCTGGCTTGTAACAGGTGGAAAACTGCAATTGTTTTGCTAAAAAATACAAGAAGAATTCAGAGGCAAACAAGCCCCCAGGAAACCATGGGGCAGGTGTGGGCACTTCAGGGCCCCTGCGTCCGCATTGGCATTGGCATTTGGCAACCTCCTGGATCACTTTGTACCCTTTGGCCGCCAATATCATCACGGCAAATGAACCTGGACTGTGAAAGTCCTTAATAAGGCACAAAATAACCAAATTTGGGGAGAGCGGGGCTATAAAAATGGAGCATTGAAAGCCCAAAACCCCCTTAGTTAGGTGAGCCAGGCTGTCTCATCATCCACCCACAAGATAGCTAGAATGTTCCTGGGGAGCAGCTGAGGCGCGGTAATAAAGAAGATTTGGGATCACTTCTGAGCCAAGAAAAATAATGTGATTCATATTAACCAGCTGCATCATGAACCCAGAGTCATTCTCTCTGGCTCATCCCGACACCTACTCCAGAATTTTTTCCCCATCATTCAGATTTACATTTATGGTCCTAAAACTCGGGTTTGGAATTCTAGGTATTTGGAGATGTGCAAAATGGTATGGAGACGCGGCATCTCTCCTGTGAATGAATCTGCAAAGAGATGGCTGACGGGACGCATCGTCCATCTGCGTTTCACCCCCTCTAAGGCTCCCGTGGCCACTCCCAAAGGGCTTGCCCCTGCGTTGTGTCCCCTTTGCAAGTGGCACTTTGCTACCACTCCAGATGTTGGTCCGTGGCCCTGAATATCAGGACCTGCAACCAAATTAAACACACACAAAAAATATTGGAGGGCCACCTGAAGGCTGTTGCTCCAGATCCCTGACAGTGACAGGATGCTGCTCCTGCAGTGGGAGATGTCCTCAGGACACTCTCATTATTTGTGAAGATGAGGAGGCTCTATGCAGGGGCCAGAGTGCTGCAGGGTGATGGTCCCCTAAGGATGCAGGCGTCTCATACATGTGGAGACGTTTACTGAGCTTAGAGAATCGCATCTCCCTTTTTCAAACTGGAAGGGCCACAGAAATGCCAGGGATAAATAAATGTCCCCCATTGCAAGTGTCTACCTTGACAGTTTGTGGATAGGGTGTAGAAGGGAGCTTATGAGTTCTGTGCCTCGCGCCACTCCACAGGAGGCCACCCTCTCCATACATCACAATGAAACAGCGCCCCCTAGGGTCGAGCACCAAGACAGCCCAAGACATGACCATCCAGTGGGCATCTGTTCCCATGGTGACCTCTGCGGATGGCACCTCTAACCAGGATAAGGTGTGGAGTTGTTTGTGGGTTTTAGAATATGTGTCATGGACCTACTGAATCTTGCTCGAATTAATGCAGCCTTCCATTGTGATGAACGTGGGGTCAAAGTCAAGATTACATACGCCAAAAGATGACCTCACCCCAGAATTCCACGACCACTCCTTATTCACAAACTCTGATGTGATACCTGTCCTGGCTGAACTTTTCACAGCAATATTTATTGACTACATCAGGGGCTGATGCCATACAGAGATGTCAGAGGTGAAGAGGTCAGAGATTAGAGGTGGCCACAGCAGAGATTATGTGAACAGCCAGAGTCATTTGCTTTATTGTGATATAAAAACATGCTTTATTGAGATATAACTAAGTTGCTATATAATTCACCATTTAAAGTGTACAATGTAGTGGTTTTTAGTGCATTTACAGTTTTGCAACCATTGACAAATCTAATTCCAGAACATTCCATCACCCAGGAAAGAGACCCCGTATCCGTTAAGTATTACTCTTTGCTTCCCTCCCACACCCCGTGCCAGGTAATCTCTTATCTACCTTCTGTCTCTGTAGATTTGCTTGTCCTGGGCTTTCCATATAAATGGAATCATGCAATATGTGGGTTTTTTTTTTTTTGTGTTGAACCCCCCACCATTCAGCATAATGGTTTCAAGGTTCGTCTTTGTTGTAATACTTCATTTCTGTGTGTGTGTGTGTGTGTGTGTGTGTGTGTGTGACTGGCTTCTTTCATTTAGCAAAATGTATTTGAGGTTCCTCTGTATTGTTAGCATGTTTTAGTACCTCATTCCATTTTATTGCTGGAAATATTCCACAGCATGGATGTAGCACATACTGTTTACCATTTCATCAGTTGGTGTACATGTGGGTTGCTTCCACCTCTAGCTGTTAGAACAAAACTGCTCTGAGCGTCCGTGTACAAATTTTTGTGTTTTCCTTTTGCCTGGGTCTCTGTCTAGGAGCTGAACAGGGGCCCTGTGGGGTGACTCCACATTTAGCATTTTACGGAACTGTGTTTTACGAAGTGGCTGGGCCCTTTTATACTTTCACCAGCAACACACAAGAGTTTGAATTTCTTTACATCTTGGCCAACATTTTTTTCTTGTCTGCCATTTTGGTTAAGGCTTCAATCGAATCCTCCGAGGGTGGGAAGTGCTATCTCACTGTGGCTTGGGTTGACATTTCCCTGGTGATAATGAGAGTCTTTTCATGTGGTTTTGACTACTTATGTATTTTCTCTGGAGAAATGTCTATTCAGATCCTTTGCCCATTTTTTTTTCAATTCAGGTTAATTTTTAAGTTATTGATATTGAGTTATAAGAACTTTTGTATAATGGACAAAATCAGATGAAAGTTTATAAACACTTTCTCTTGGTTTGTAAGTCGTCTTTTCACTTTCTTGGCAATATTATTTGAAGTACAAAGATGTTTAGTTTTGACAAAAACCAAGTTTGTCTATTTTTCTTTCTATTGCTTGTGCTTTGGGTATTATCTGAGAAAATGTCGCCTGACCTAAAGTCATGAAGATTTACTCCTGCATTTTATTCTAGGAGTTTTGTTATAGTTTATATCTTGCCTTTAGGGCTACAGACTATGGTCCATTTAAATAAACTTTTCTTGAGGGATGTGAGGACGGGACCTACTCCATTCTGTCACAAGTGGCTATTTATTTGGGCCATGCCCATTCATTGAAGAGACTGTTCTTTCCCACTGAGTTGTCTTGGTACCCTTTTAAAAAAAAATCTATTGATCATATATCTTTATTTCTAGCCTCTCCTATTCTATTCCATTGGTCTTTATATGTATCTCCATTCTAAGATAACAAGAATTTGATGACTGTAGCTTTATACGAAGCTTTGAAATCAGGAAGTGTTGATATTCACTTTTATTTTTTCCTTTTCAAGAGTGGTTTAGTTATTCTGAGTCCCTGGCATTTCCTTCAGAATTTTAGTGTCAATATGTTAATTTCTGGAAAAACAGGTAACTGGGATTTGGTAAATATTGCATTAAATCTACAGATCACCTGGAAGAGGATTGCCATCCTAACGACATGAAGTCTTCCTGTCCATGAATATGGGATGCTCTCCTGTTTATTTCAATCTTTAAATTCTCTCAATAATGTTTTGTAAAGTGTAGAAGCTTTGTGCTTCTTTTGTTGACCTGATTCAACATTTTATGTTTCCAGCTGCTACTGGACTAGGTTGAATAAGTGAATCAGTGACTCTTGGGGCTTTCCCACTTTCTAAAGATGTTTTTTAACCTCCATATTCTAGGGCTCTCTGATTTCCACAGCGGAGGGTCTTCAGGCATTCTCATCTCCCACAACCTTGGAAATGGACTTCTACTCTAGATGAGAAAGTTGGCAGAAGTGTCAACTCCAAAAAACAAAAACATGAATTGAAAGACACTAGGGCACACTCCTGAGATGCCTGTTGCTGGTTCTTTAAGAGCTGGCCACATGACAATCAGGGCACCCCAGTCCTCAGTTCATGCAAATATAGGACTCACCCCAACACCAGAGAATGGCATTTGAACTATTACTGTCCTTTGAATGCCTTGTTCCCCCTAACCTCTAAAGTGATGGTACTAGGCTGTGGGACCTTTAAGGAGACTGGGCCATGAGGATGGGCAGGGGTGGCTCCCCTTTAAAAGAGGCCCCAAGAGACCCCTTATCTCTCCTCCTGTGAGGATGCAGTGACCAGGTGTCCTGTGTGGATCAGGAGGCGGCCCCAGCAGACAGAATCAGCCAGCAGACAG